AGAGGGAGACTGGGCCTTCTGTTCCACCATGGACAAGGGAGAGATGGGGCATTGCAGGGATGGATCTGGTCTTAGGCGGGTTTCATCTCCTTCTGAAGTAATTAGTTTCACTTCACACCATTGTAGACCCAATCTGGGGTTACTGCACTTCTTAGTTATGCACCTTAAGCTTCGTGTGGTGACTTTAGGTCCTCATCCATGACTTCAGCTGCATTTCAGCTTTGGGAAGCTGAGGGGTGCAGCATAAAGAATGAGGTGTCCCCTTCCTGACTGCCATCAAACAATAAACTTTCGAACATCTCCCCCTTCTATTTTTAATTAGTCCTTGATTTTTGGCTATAGGGATTTCCAGCTTGGTGGTTGCCAGGACAACTGGAGGAAGCCTGGGTAGCATCCTCTTCATCTCTGCATATCCAAGGAGGGGACCAGTCCCTGAGGAACAGGCTTCCATCCAAGGTGGGATGTGTTAGCACATCTCCCTTGGGTGGAAACGAGGTGGAAAACTCTCAGCTGTGGATAGGGGAAGACAAGTGAGAAAAGTCTTTAAGGAAGAGGAGAAGGAGGAAATCCAGCGCAGTAAGGAGTGTGAATTGGCAACAGCGCCATAACAAGGCTTTCCTCTCTCCCACACCACCCCGCTACCATCAGCTGAGACGTGGGTTTCCTGCAGTCTGGTTCTCAAATCAGATTTTAATGGGGTTTTCTTGGGCAGGGAAGCCTCAGTGTGAGGTTTCTACCCATGTACTACCACGTACTACCACACAACAGTGCAGGGGATGAGCAGGGCAGGAAGGAATGGTGCATTGAAGCATCTGCAGGCTCAGGGAGGGATGTGGGATTTGGGGAGAAGGCTAGTACCGCAGTTGTTAGGAATTTGGTCCATCACTGGGTCTCTTTGAGGTTGTCTCAGGACATTTGCCATGCAGAAAGGATGAGCAAGATAGAAAGACCAGAGACCTGCAGCCACTCTGGGTAGCGAAATGTGGGGGATGATGCTGCACCCCAACAGCTCCTGTTGAAATCAGTGGGTACAATGAGCCCCTCCCCAGACCTCATTTATTTTACCCCTGGGATATCTCCACACCACAATAGTTATAAAAATGCTCAATGGCTGAACCAGCCCAAGGGCTGCTTTCTCCTGATGGCTTTCCCTTTACTATCCCAAGTGCTGGTGCCAGTGTTTTCTGATCCATGGTGTTTCCTCCAGGTGAATCTCCCCTGTGCTTCAGCAGGATAACTCATCTCCCTTTTACAAGGGGATACCTTGGCTTCCTGCCTTTATCTACGGAGCAGCTCGTAGGCAGCAATCCAAAGGCAATTTGATGCTGTTTCAAAAGCATGCTGTACACAGATGAACAGTAAATGCCTGCAGCGTGTTTCTTTCCTCCTTTCAAAGAGCACTATTGATTGCTCCATGCAATGACAAAGCATGCCTGGACCTGACTAAGCTCTTCCTTGATTATCTGGCAATGCAGGAGACTCTTTCCTTGGAGTGGAAGGTGACCAGCACCTTTATTTCCCCTATCTTTTATCAGAGCTATTGGCCAAGTGGTCTGTTTGCCTATGAACGCTTCATGCTGCTCCATAAGGGAGTTTTTAGCTGGTAGTAATGGATTGCAGCTCATCAGCAAAGCAATTGCAAGCAAGTAAGGGAGTATTTGGGGCAGTGCTGGAGGATGGAAGAGGCAATAGATGCTGTGCAAATAGCTTAGCTGAGCTTTATGTCCTGCATTTCATCTGTGTAATGTCATGTCTTTGACGCTGGCTGCAGCAATGTGTGGTACAGTGGGAGTCACTTTATCTGCCCACTTATGGAGATCATTTCTGTAGCTGGTTGGGAATGGAATTCCCATGTCAGAGGGGTTTAAGCAGCTGCATGTGGAACCTCTGGCTTTGATTCTTATCTCAGTTCAAGGAATCATAGAATCCCAGACTGGTTTGGGTTGGAAGGGACCTTAAAGCTCATCCAGCTCCAGCCCATCACGGGCAGGGACCCCTTCCACTAGAGCAGCTTGCTCCAAGCCCCTGCGTCCAACCTGCCCTTGAACACTGCCAGGGATGGAGCAGGTACAGCTTCCTTGGGCACCCTGTGCCAGTGCCTCAGCACCTTCATTAGAACGTTTCTTCCTTATATCTAGTCTGAATCAGCCTTCTTTTAGTTTAAAGCCATTCCCCCTTGTCCTGTCGCTACAGGCCCTGCTCAAAACTCTGTTCCTAGTTAAAATGGGACTTTGGAAGTTGCCCTCTTGCTTTTCTTCAGGTGGCAGCAGGAGCCCATGAAGGTCTTAACAGTGCTGAGAAAGCCAAGTCTCACACTGATGTGTCTTTGGACCTGCTGAGGTCTGATCCAGCTCCCATCAGAGCCAACAGGATGCCATGAGGAACCGAGCTGGGCTTTTGAAGGAGAAGTCAGGAGACACTTTCCCTGTTGCAACATCAAGTGGGAACAGCTACTGGGTAGGATTTGAGAGAAGAAACACCAGTATCATAGGATCACAGCATCCAAGGATAAAGGGGACATCAAGGATCATCTGGTCCAGCCTCCCTCGGCAAAGCATGACCTAGACTAGACATCCTAGCACCCTGTCCAGCCTAATCTTAACAATATCCAGCGTTGGGGAGTCACCACTTCCCTGGGGAGGTTATTCCAATGGCTTGTTGTTCTTACTGGGGAAAATTTACCTCTTGTTTCCAGTTGGAATCTCCCCAGCAGTAACTTGTGCCCATCACTCCTCGGCTTTTCCATGGGGCTCCTTGTCAAAAGGGAGTCTCCATCTATTTCCAGCCCCCCTTTAACTCCTGGCACATGGGGATAAGGTCTCCTCTGAGCCTTCTTTTCTCTATGCTGAACAAACCCAGCTCTCTCAGCCTGCCATGAGACTGAGCTGACATTAGTGCAGGTGCTTCCCTGTAGCGAGACATTTAACATTCGAGGTTTCGCTTTTTGAGTTCCCAAATTGCTCCCTGCTGCTGTAATTTCCCCTGGTAATGAAACATTTCAGCGCATTCCAAGCGCAGCTCCATGGAAAAAGGAGGATTTAGTCTAGGAGGGTTTGCAGAAGGGAGCGAGTTATGGTCTGCCTGCACGAAACCAGGGGGGATCTGCCCTGATGTCATTAAGAAAGGGGTATCTGGAGACGTGCCTGCAGAAAGGGGCTCTACCCCTGTGTCCCCTCTGCACGCAGATGTGTTTGCTCAAGAAACAGTTGAGATGGGCTGGGACTGGGGCTCATCTCGCTGATCCTCTGTTGTTTCTATGCAATAATGCACCCCAGAGGACTGCGCGTTGGCCTTTAGCAACGCGCCGGTTGCAAGCGCGTTGGCCGCAGTCCCAATCTCTGCTCTCTATTTGCAGGAGCTACCACCAGGCAAGCCCTATCAGTGATCGGGACAATGTTTTGGCAATGCTTTGTGATCCTTTTACACGTTGGCAAGTAATCCCTGGGAAGGAGAGCAGAGCCAGTGCTGGAAAGGGAGAGAAACTGCTGCCAAAGGCTGGGTGAGGGAGGATGAAGTGTGAACTCCTAGGAAATGGCCCTGGGAAGGTGCAAGGGCTGTGGGGAAGGCGCCTCGGCCAGATCAAAGAGTGTATAGGAAAGATGATCCCACCAGGAAGTGAATAAAGTGCTTTTAAGCGGCAGTGGGAAAGGTGAGAATAGAGAGCAGGGGGGCTGAGATGGGGATGGGAACGTGCATTTTAAAGGGGGTTTATTTTCTTTGGTTAAAGGAGTGCTTGGCACGTGGGTCTCTTTATCACCATGAGCAATGATGGCTCTGCTTGCTTGGTTTGGTGGGAGATTGCTGGCCTCTTGTAAGGCATGAGGAGCTGTCACCCATGACTGCAATGGGAACCAGAGGAAAGCCCTTGTTGACCTGTAGGATCTGGCATCCAATTTAACCCCTCCAGAGATGCAGAGCTAAAGCTGTTTTGGCTGGCTGTTGAAATCACTGCTGCCTACAGTTGTGTAGAGGATGTGTTAGGATGCGATCAGAAGAGGCCAGTGAAGTGCACATCAGCTCTCTTCCTCCCTTGTCTGTGATGATGAAGGGACAGAAACACCTTAGATGGAGGAAGTTCAAAACCAGAGTTAGGGAGAGCTCCCTGCTTGCTGCCATTGTTAATCACAGAGAATTCTTAATGTAATTAGCAAAGCCTCCCCAGAGGCTCTGTATGAAACAAACTGACTCTCTCCACTCGATGCCTGTGCAGGAGGCTGGGCCCACCACAGCAGAGTCTGGGTTAGACTGAGTGGTCCTTAGTTCCTCTGCTTCATCAGGCGAGGAGCCAAGGGGATGTTGTCCCTCCTGCCTGCCACCAGCCTGAGGAGCACTGGGTTTAGCCACCTGATACGAAGCAATGATTTTACCTGCCTAAACACTTCTGTATTAGCATCTGAAGTCTAAGCAAAGGAGATGTGCAGTTCATTTGGGCAGAAGGCAGCTCCTTTCTAGCTGTTCATCCTGGATGATGTTCTGATGATGCTGCTATCTCTCTCCTCTATAGGAAATTTGAATGGAGCTTTGGTTTTTCCTTTCCTGATAAGGCTTTTGGACACCTAAGCCTCCCACTGGGTGCACAGCCTAAATGGTTTCTCTAACCTCTCAGTGCAAGACTCCCAAACACATGTCCTGACATGAAGACCTCTGTGTGCTGAAGTTTGCCAGGCTCTAAATGACTCAATGTTTGAGCTGTCGTGTAGCTCCTTCTGTCGTCCACTCAAAAGGATAGATCTTGCTGATAGGCAAGTTCTTACTGTTCTTACAGCTGATTTCCTGTTGGTTCTTAACTTGGTTATATCTTCAAGACTGTTGACCCTATTTGTTTTCTCCATTAAGCTCCCACTGGGGTTCATAACATGAAAGACGAGGTGTTTGGGACATCCATGTTGTTTAAGGTTATACTTAATCTATCCATTTGGAAAGACAGAAGAGAATACTGTACAACTTAAACAGTTACACATCTACAGCAGTTAAATCTATTTCCTTATCTTGTTTTCCAGGTCAACAATGCAGTTCCTAGCCTGGTTCAGTTTGCTGCTTCTCCTTCCTTGTTGCAGTACCACCAAGACCTGCTTCCCCGGCTGCCACTGTGAAGTGGAAAGCTTTGGTCTCTTTGACAGCTTTAGCCTGACCAAGGTGGACTGCAGCGGGATAGGCTCACACATTGTTCCCGTCCCAATCCCTCTGGATACCTCCTACTTGGATCTATCATCAAACAAACTGGAAACAATCAATGAATCGAAGCTCACCGGCCCTGGATACACCACCTTGGTGAGCCTTGACCTGAGCTACAATAAGATTGCCAAGATTTCCTCCACAACCTTCTCCAGGCTTCGATACCTGGAGTCCTTGGACCTGAGTCATAACTCTTTGGAAGTCCTTCCGGAGGACTGTTTCTCCAGTTCTCCTTTGGGCGACATAGATTTGAGCAATAACAAGCTCTCGGATGTAGCGATGGACATTTTTGCTTCAAAAGGCCAAGGAAAACCCTTGAATGTGGATCTATCCAATAATATGCTCAGCACAATTACGAGACACCGTGAAAAGAGCATCCCAAATATCCAGAACTTGAATCTTTCTGGGAACAGGCTGACGTCTGTGCCAAACCTTCAAGGCATCCCTCTCCGGTACTTAAATCTTGATGGGAACCCCATAGTCAAAGTTGAGAAAGGAGACTTCATGGGGCTGAAAGATCTGATCCATTTATCCCTCAGTGGCCTGCATGGCTTGGAAGAGTTCTCTCCTTATAGCTTCAAGGAACTACCAGCCCTCCAAGTACTGGATTTATCCAACAATCCCAACCTGAAGTCACTGACTGCTGAAGTGATCTTTGGGCTGAACTCCCTACAAGAGCTCAACCTCTCCGGCACAGGCGTGTCGTCCTTGCCAAAGACTGTGCTGAAATACCTGCCTTCCATCAAAAGCATCACCTTGGGGAAGAACATACAGTGTCTTAAGACCATCAAAGAAGGACAGTACCACCGACAAATCGGGCTGACCAAAAAAGAGGTCCTCAGTTGCCACGATAGCCACGGATCCGTAGCAGCAGCACCTTACGTTTTGTGATGAAAGCTGGGGAGAAGGTGGGGAAGGGAGGGTGGGGGGCCATGGGGTTTGTACAGGATCGGACTGAGAGGGTTTGCAGTGTGCCTTTTGTAAGACTGCCAATAATTTATATATTTGTATAAGCCAATATTTGATTGTTTGTGGATTTTATAAACTCTCAAACCCTGGCTCACGTCATCTGCAATGCTCCAGTTTTTACCCTTGAGGTCCTGCACACAGCCCCTTGGCTCAAGAGTGGTGATGCTGGATAATGGGGACCGAGCTGTTCTGCAGGTCCCAGGGCAGAACAATAGGTCTGGAGCAACCTTTTGTGTCCCAAAACAAGGTCATTTGTGTCCACACCAAAACATACTGACTCTATAGCTGCTTGCTTACAAACCCATGCACCATCCTTTTGTATTAACTATTACTCCCCAAGAAGTGCCTTCTGGATGTCGCCTTCATTAGCAGCACCCTGGTCCCTGTCATGCACTTTCAGTCTTGAAGAAACCTTTCCAGACAAACCTGAACACAGGGTGCTCCTAATGGGCTGGTTTTTACATGTTATTTGCATGTGCGTGCAATGACCATTAAGACAAGAACTTTCCCCACTGTTTTCTCCCTGTTTTCCCATCATTTCTTTAGATCCAACCTTTCTAACCTTAGCGAGCCGTTGCTCGGAGATGATGCTCAGCAAAGCAAGAGGGAAGCAGAGGGGTTTGCCAACAGCCACGTCTCACCCAGGAACCAGCCTCTGAGGAAGCAAATTGAGTTGCAAAGTAAAGAGATCATGTAGCCTGGCATAAAATAGTAATAAACATCCCTCTTCCCTTTCTGGGAAAGCTTGGAAGAAAACCTGAGCAGGGATCCCCATCTCGACAACCTTATCAAACCAAGCCCTACAGGATGTGAGACTAAGCTGTTTCCATGCTGATGTTCCCCATCTGAACACAACATCTGCAGCTCAGCCGGGAGCATGTGAGGCAGTTTTCAACACCAAAACACTCTCCAGAGCATGCCAGGAGGATTGACACTGATGCCTGCGCCCCTGCAGCGCTTTGCCTATCAGGGGAAAGATCTTGTTGGGTTTTAGTTCCATGTTGTGGCTTTTCTTTCTCTCCCATAGCTCTTTGGCTGCCAACCGCAATCTGATAGAAAGCCTGGCCCTTAGAGGTTTGCTCATGTTTTCCTTTGTTTCTGAGATGCTGGAAAAGCAAAGGGGAGCCCCCCTGGTCCCTCTTCTTTTACTGCTTTTAGAAGAGGGGAATGCTCCATCCTGGCAATGTTTAAGGCCAGGTTGGACAGAGCCTTGGGTGACATGGTCTAGGGTGAGGCATCCCTGCCCATGGCAGGGGGTTGGAACTGGATGATCTTAAGGTCCTTTCCAACCCAATTCTATGATATATGTACTATGGTAGAATCAGGAGGAAATGAGGGAAGGCACTGCAACTCGACTCAGTGCCATGTATGAAGCCTTCAACTTGCTTACAGGAGCTCCTGCAGTCCGGTCCATCTCTGGTATGCTCTGTTCAGGGGATGGGAAGGATGGGGCTCCTACTTGGGCTTATCAACAGCATGGTCTCTAAACCCAGACTTACATGAAGTTGACTTTCAATGTCTGAAACTCATTTAGGGAGGTCCATGTAAAGATGATGCAGATATAAACCCATCCCCAGACCTTCCTTGGGAGTGCTGGAAGAAGCTCAGGCTTCATCCTCACTCCCCTAAAGGTCTTGGAAATGGAAACCCTATTACCCAAAGCAGCTGCCTCCAGGGATGGTTGAAACTCACTGAGCCCATAACCCAACACCTCGCTTTGGGTGCTGAAATCACTCTCCCACATTTTCATCGATCTCCTTTCCTTTGGGGACCTTAGGGTGGGATTTTAACCCTTTCCTGTCAGTGCTGGAGCTTTTTGCCCCTCTCCTGACTCTTTGCAATGCTCGAGCAACCTTCACAGGCACAAAACCCCATAAGCAGGGGTCTGGAAGGGAACAACAACCAACTGAAGCGCAGGACGGGGGCAATTTGGGAGGAAAGGGGTGTTTTTAGTGAATTTTGCCTTTTTAAGGGAATTCTTTTCTGCTGGCAGAAAATACAGGGTTTTGGTTTTTTTTTTTAAGGAATTGTTTACTTTTATAAGTCTACATAGGTGAACTGCTACAGACATCACAAACTGTCTTTGTGCCACTGTGGTAAGTTGAAAACCCAGTGTGACAATGCAGTTGAAGCCTGCAATTGCTCCTCTTGTAACCTCACAATAGCTGGTAGCTAAGCAAGACTTGGCAGAAGCTGGCAAGTCCCGTTGCTGTGTTAGTGTTGGGCTTATTTTAAAGACCCTCTGCAGCGTTGTAAGGCTTTGTGATTTATCACAACGTAATAAAGTGATTTGGAGGAGAATAAACCCACATCCCCAAGGTTTATTGCCTTAGTGCTGGGAGGGCAGTAGCTGCTGGGGCCAAAGTGCAGGACTTGCTCTGCTCAGCCCTACCAGCCTCATGAGTGTTGTATCTCCAAGCTGGGGTCAGGGTTTGCCCCGCTGTGTTTGGCTCATTGGGGTCCTCATTGGCAGAAAGGCTTGAGAGCATCACTGGTTGGTTCAAAGGATATTGTGGACTCATGGCAATGAAGCAGCATAAGAGCAAATTTCCTGCTCCAAAGCTTGGCAGAGATGGTTGGACAGAGCCTTGGGTATCATCATCTAGTGTGAGGCATCCCCGCGCATGGCAGGGGGTTGGAACTGGATGATCCTAAGGTCCTTTCCAACCCAAACCTATGATTCTATGGTGGGGAATCTCTTCATGGGTTTGGCCAATCTACAACATGGTCTGCTAGGGTTGAAAGGCTGGGTTTGCAGAGGGGGTGATGTGGGGGGAGCCCATAATCTTGTTTCATACAACCAGGGGGTTGAAAGAGATGGATGCTCTTTACTGTGAGGGTGCTGAGGCGCTGGCACAGGGTGCCCAGAGAAGCTGTGGCTGCCCCATCCCTGGCAGTGTTCAAGGGCAGATTGGACACAGGGGCTTGGAGCAAGCTGCTCCAGTGGAAGGGGTCCCTGCCATGGCAGGGGGTTGGAAGTGGATGAGCTTTAAGGTCCCTTCCAACCCAAACCATTCCATGATTCTATGATGCTATGAATGTGTGCAGGAGTAAGGCCATGGCATGGAAAGCTGCAGAGCCTTCAGCAGTGAGATACACGTGGTCCAGTCCCAGCGCTGCTCTCTGAGGAGCGGGGGCTGCTGCATGGAGGGCTAAGATCATGCAGAGCCATTGCAATAAGGAATAAACAGGAACCTCTCAGGAGGGCTTTGCCTGCTCATAAATAGCAGATTTAATTCTAAGCATTTCTCAGTGCTGTGTATAAGAGCAGAGCCGCAGTGAGGAAACCTCAGCCTCTGGGAAGCTGCAGTGTTCCCGGTCCTCCCAAGCCTGAAGGAACAATTGAATCTTCCACCCAGGCAGGCAGAGCTGCAGGCTGCTGGGAAGAGGCTGTTCTGAGTGGGGAGGCAGAGGTTCTCCATCTGCTTCCTCTGAGATGGGTCCAGGAGGGGACAGATCTTGCTCTCAGCACTGTTAATGGACTATAGGTGAAAGCCCATCACTAACTCTTAGAGGCTATTGCTCCTCTGGTGTCCATGAGGCTGTGATCATGAGCCTACACCACCATACCCCTTTTGGATGAAGAGTCCCTCCCCAGCATCCTTGTAGCCCCCTTCAGACACTGGAAGCTGCTCTGAGGTCTCCACGCAGCTTCTCTTCCCCAGGCTCAACAGCCCCAACTTTCTCAGCCTGGCTCCATACAGGAGCTGCTCCAGTCCTGATCATCCTTGTGGCCTCCTCTGGACTTGTTCCAACAGCTCCCTGAAGCTGCTGTCAGCTTGATAACACAGTGCAATGGACTAAACCTCGGTGCCATGCCAGGAGAGCTGGTTAGCTGCAGGTTCCTGCTGTCCCCAGGACCAGCTCAGCTCTGTGGCCAGATACACTTGCCCTGGCAAGCAAGATGGGCGTTTTAATGAGAGCCTGAGTATATTTAGAAGCAGGAAAACCTCAGTGCAGGCCAGGCAACAAGGACAGACAGGGTTAGAGAGGGGAAGACGTGGCTGAGCTGGCATTTGCTCGCAGTGCTGTGTCTCCTGGAGAGTCATCAGTATCTCACCCCTCTTCCGAGCACATTGGGAAAGACACCAAGGATTGCTCCCCCTCTTCTGCCTCATGCCCAGGGCAGCGTTAGGACAACCTTCTCTTTATTTTGGGCATCTCTTGGTACCTAAAAGCTCCCATTTTCTTCTCCTGGCTGTCAGCTGTCAGCCTACAGAAATCCCTCACTGAATCATTATGTGACTGACTTCATAGCAGTAGGTGCCTTCCCTGTTAAACATAGCTGCTCCTCTCTATGTTCTCCATTCTGCAGGAGGATTGAAAGCACGGAGGCACTCGTGCCATGCCAGAAAATAAAGCTGCATGGCTGGGCATAATTCCTCTCGCTGCCCCGAGAAAGCTTTGGGGCAGCATCCTCTGTCCCATGCATGTAGCTAGAGGCAGCACCGCTGCGCTATTCCTGCCCTATTTCCCCATAGGCATCCCCTTCCTTCCCTTTTTGAGTGGACAAGCAGACCTGGGAAGCTGATGAAAAGGTGGAAAAGTGGAGCTGAAACTAGGCCATCAGATAAATCCTTTCCTGTAATAAGCAGGGAGCGGGAGCACCGGCCCTTAATCCCAGCCTTTGTTTCCTAGCATTTGTATGCCTGTGTGCACGCATCCCTCAGTGCCAAAACAAACCCAGCCCCTCCTGCCCCATCTCCATCCCTGCTCTGCCTTTCATTAATGGCATTAGAAATGGTTCATTCTGACACACAGCAGCACCCCTTGGAAGCAGCAGCCTGCAGTGCCAGGCACTGAGCATCCTTCAAACCCCATTGCTAGCCACAAAGGGGGTACGGGTAGGGGATGTGCTGCTGCTCTATCCCCTCCAGTGGTCCAGCCTCCACTCTGGATGCACCCCAATGGAATGAATCAGCATGAAACAACCCAAACTTCACCCCTGGAAACTTTCCCACCACTGTGGTGATGTTCTTTTACCCCAGCACTGCCCTCCTGGACCTCTGCACCATGTTCTCCCCTCCTCTTCCCCATTAGCAGTGATGTGTGTCACGGTGCTGGCTGGTAATTGAGTGGGGCCGTGCTGGGAATTTGAACCTACATTTCAAAGAGATTGTTAACCTCCTTTTCCCTTCTCTTTGAACTGCTTTGCTTTATTGTAGGTTAAAGGAAACACACGGCTTCTTCCTCCCAGGGCCTCTTTTGATGGCAGCACGGCACATTAGAGCTGGTGGGGTTTTACCAGCAATGATGGTGGCAGCGTGCTGCTAAGCAGTGTGATGATGTACTTCAGTGGGATCGAGCTGTCCCTTGATTTCAGAGCTGGATGCAGATAAAGGAGTGATCCAGGGATGGACAAAGGACTGGCACAGGCACTAACATCACTGTCCTGGCAGCACATGCAGGGGGTCTCAGCTGACAGAGGACCACATATTATGGGTCTCTCACCCAGAAACTAGGTTCAAACCCCAATGCCATGCTGGGATTTCTGGGTGGGATT